CATTTCATGAGTTCTCACAGAGAAGTCTTGTAAGTTATATCCCCACCTAACAGGAGAGGAAATTAAGGCTAAGTAACTTGTTCAAAGGAACACAGATTGGCAGATGAGTTTAACTTGGCCTGTGTAACAACAAGCCATGACTTTCTGCTATAATGCCTTCTATATAATATTCTCTAAGTATAAACTTTCAACAGAATTTCTATGATGAAAATGATCTTTCTCATAGTAGTAACTCATGGCCTAAATAGCACTAAAACATTGTTTTTCCAATATGTTCAAAATATTTAAACAAAAAATATATGTTCTCATAAAATATGTTCCATTAATATATCCCTTCCCAGAATCTCCTTTGATATTTAAAACAGCCCTTTCTGACAGCCAAAGCATATATAAGGACACACTAGTTCAGTCCAGCAAATGGAAAAACCTCCAATTAAAGCAAAGACAAAAAATCTCTTAAAAATGGAACCAAAGGAAATCACTATTAGCCCTTCTGATAACGATGAGCTAAAACCTTAAAATTTAATAACCAGACAATTATCTAGCCAAATGGGCAAACATGAAGCTAGGTAAGTAAATAGGAATGAAAATATCAAGCTATATGAAATTGTCATCAAATATCAATGTAAGTTTGGCAAGTTTGGAAAATAAAAGATTAAAGTTAAAACCTGTCTCTTTACCTCAGGACTTTCCAGAACCCTTAATGTGTTAACACGAATTCTAATCTCCAAATAAAATGTGCAAACATTACTCAAGGTTACATAGCTAGCTAATGGCAAATTGAGAACCATAACTTGATTCTTCTGATTCCCACTCCAAAATTTGTTCTACTTCCCCAAGACTTTATAATATCTGATCTTAAAGGAAGAAACTTTGCAAGCATCACTTCTACAGAAATACAAGACGGGAAACATTAGTGGTTTGCTCCAACTGAAATATTTACCACCAATATTTACCACCACCGCGCTAAAACAAACAAACAAAAAAAGTAGTAAATAATTTTTACATAACAAGCCTCTTCAAAAAAAGCTAAGGCCAGGAGCGGAGGTCACGCCTGTAATCCCAACACTCTGGGAGGCCAAGGTGGGTGGATCACCTGAGGTTAGGAGTTTGAGACCAGCCTGAC